GGCAGCTACAGTTTATGGTGATAACGCTGAAATTTTGGTTCAAAACGGCACACCAACGCTTAGGGCTTGCGCTGCATTTCGCATTGCAGGAGGGTTCAAAGAAAAGCTGGGAACGGACAAGTCCTAACGCCGCAGACATGATGCAGAATCTTTGCGTTCGCAGCTCATCATATCAATTTTGGCCTGATTCGGTGCAGACTTTAAAGGTGTAAGGTGGCGCATTTTCTCAACAGCATCTTTGGAGCTAGATTCGAAGGCGATTGAGTAAGATCAAGAGGATTTGAAAATGCGAGAAAAGATCGGTTTTGGGCAGTTTATAAAGGAAACATTTGGATGAAAAGGGGGAGGGGGAGGCCAGTTTGGCTTCGACGCTTCGACAATAGCTTCAAAGTCTTTGCATTGGGAAAAACCAAATGAAATTTTTCTCGAAAACTGGAAATAAAAGTACTACATAAACAATATATCAATGCTGTCTCTTTTGAAAAGTTCACGCCTCAGACAGAAAAGATTTGAGAGGGCGACAGTTGATGCGAATTTTCATGACAAGAGACGATAAAACTCTTTTTCAGATTAGCAGTTTCTTTTACGAGGATCGAAGAGAAATATTTTGAGTTTTTTTGTAGGCGACTCCATTTCTGATGTAACCGCACAGAATTCTCTTTTTTCACAAAAAGGACTTTTTTGATTAGATCATTCCACATTTCCAAAACGATCATCTTTTATCCGGTCATATTTTAACGACCTAAAGATTATGATATGTACATTCTGCGCCAACAGGGTTCAAGAATTCATTCGCGTTAGCTTAACACCATCAAATCGATCGAAAAATGGGTTATTTTAGTTTTCTGGATAAAACGATTCGCAAAATTACTAACCGCTGTCTCACACTATCTGCGATTGTGTCATCTGAATCTGGATGTTCTTAATGTTCCTGGACACATGAAATTTACAGTTGTTGCACAGTTCCATGAATCAGAAAGGAACGAGTAACCTTTTTTCTACTTCTAATGCGGTTGCAGTGGAAAACTTTCTTTAGATTACACACAAATTATTTCAAACGTAAAACTGATCGTTTTTTGAGTAGAACATTTCACAGTTATCATTCATTCACTCAATCAGTTTCTTATTATATCCGTGAATACCCAAAGATTATGGTGCGAATGTTAGATGAAAGAGTTTGTCTAAAGGAGCTATCGCTTTAGTGCTCAAACTATTACGATCCGAAACTGTTCATGTGAAAGAAGTTGACGGTGATTCTGAATCTCTGAAAAAAAACTTCCAAGATGACAATTATTGTATTGATGCTCTCGATTTTGGGCACTCATCTGCAATCTAAATGTACGCTGTTTTTAAGCAAAATTTTATAAAATTCACAGTTGCTGAGCGTTTTTTGGAAATCAAAGCTTACGGTTATGATACGATTTGATGCCATTTCCACTTCCAATGTGTTCTCAAAACCACCTGTTATGATTGCTAGATATCGAAATTGAACCAATTTCCATAGCCTGCCTAGATTATAGACTAGATTTAACGCTAGACAGTGATCGAAATTAGAACCCTATAATAAAGCGCAGGGGGGACCATCCGACGTCAACAACCGGCGAAGAATGTTTGCCCAGATCTCTGAGTTAATTCTTGCACTTTCACTTGCTTCCATACTGTTTACCGTTACGACTCAACCTAAGTGCAACCTATGACGTCATCAATGGTATGATGTTTTCTACTATCTTCGGTGCTCCGTCTGCTTCGGTGATGTTTATCTCGACGTCAAGCTAAATGCAACCCCAATTCCGTCGCCTACAACGCTGTTAGCGGTCGATTTATTTCAACCGCTTTACATTTTGCTTTATTCATTTGTGAAAATAAGCAAACGTCGGATAGCATCTTCAGGTCGGTGATAATACTTAACATTGATATCCGCATTACATCTCCTCAATTCTTTCTTAATCAGTGCACCACATCATCACTGTTTTTTACCACTAAACGTATCTTTACGTGCAAAAACAAAACTCAAAATTGAACCTTTCCTTAAAAATCAAGCAAAATCATATCACTCATTGTGCATTTTCCTATTGTGCACTATTCTATTTTTGTTTCATTACCAAACGTATCTCATTAAAAATTTTTAAATTTTACTCTGAAAAAACCCTTCTACAAGAATGAAGCAAAAGAAGCGAATGAAGCATGCTGAACGTATCTTCACATGAAAAATTCCTTAAACTCACTGTGAAAATCGAAACTCTTTGAGAAAATAGTCAAACATCAATACTGTGCCAACTTTCCAAATTGTTATCCACTAAGTGATTAAAAAAACATGGTGATGCGAATTGCCTTGAAACACTAAACGTTATACAAAAAGCTCACTTTGCAAGCAACGCAGGTTTTAAGAGAACACTTCATCTCAGGATTTTAAATCAATCCAAAGACTGAAAATTTCAAAAAAACTGTAAAAGTTACTGTGATCGTGAGAGAAGTTTTGAAAAGAGCTACACGCTGTCTGTCTGTTATCAGTATACCAAGTGTGAGCAAAAGAGATGGGAAGAAAGGGACGCTTCACTAACCATCAACTCAACCCTTGCTAACCTCAGGAACATGTAGCTTTTTAGTGCAATTTTGTCAGAACAATGCACTACCTCAAAATCGTATATACAGCGGTGATTTGCTTGAATGAACAGCTTAAAATTGGATATACGCTTCAATACTAGCTCTCTTTACGGAATTCGAGTCAATAGCCTACCAGGATGAGTTGGAAGGGTGCGCTTTAGAGCATTCCGGGTGGAAGTTATAGTCCTATAAGGGCGTCTTATATGGAAGGCTTTCCAAATTGTGGAACAATCTGGAAAGCCCATATAGGACGCGAACGCGAGCTCTGGCATTAGATTTTTTTAAGCATATATCGTGAAGAGGAAGGGAGGTTTTTCCATTTAGGAAATTTCATAATAGTAAGTTAGAATTTTGGCTAAATGCATTCAAATGCGTTGAGTTGAATCCTCTTGCTGAAATCTCGCAAAGAATTCAGAATAGTTACTTTGAGGCCGATATGCATGAAAATCCTCCCAGTGGCAAAAAAAGAAGCGGAGTCCCCAATGTTGAAAAGTCATAGCAGTGATCGCCCGCGGCCCTTTTATGACAAGGGACGTCGCTTACTTCACCCCAGCTTTCATATGTGCCTTCTAAGGCAGTTCGTAGGGACAGTCGATGAGGAGAGCAGAGTCCGGGTGAAAACAGCCATGAAAATGTGCATAGCTGGGAAAAGCTTGCCGGGTTTGTGACGGCGACTTTGGTCAGAAAACTTTCGGATGTGAAAATTGGAGAGCATCCGAGGATTTTCGCAAATGTGGGGATGAGCAACTTTGGCAGCTACAGTTTATGGTGATAACGCTGAAATTTTGGTTCAAAACGGCACACCAACGCTTAGGGCTTGCGCTGCATTTCGCATTGCAGGAGGGTTCAAAGAAAAGCTGGGAACGGACAAGTCCTAACGCCGCAGACATGATGTAGAATCTTTGCGTTCGCAGCTCATCATATCAATTTTGGCCTGATTCGGTGCAGACTTTAAAGGTGTAAGGTGGCGCATTTTCTCAACAGCATCTTTGGAGCTAGATTCGAAGGCGATTGAGTAAGATCAAGAGGATTTGAAAATGCGAGAAAAGATCGGTTTTGGGCAGTTTATAAAGGAAACATTTGGATGAAAAGGGGGAGGGGGAGGCCAGTTTGGCTTCGACGCTTCGACAATAGCTTCAAAGTCTTTGCATTGGGAAAAACCAAATGAAATTTTTCTCGAAAACTGGAAATAAAAGTACTACATAAACAATATATCAATGCTGTCTCTTTTGAAAAGTTCACGCCTCAGACAGAAAAGATTTGAGAGGGCGACAGTTGATGCGAATTTTCATGACAAGAGACGATAAAACTCTTTTTCAGATTAGCAGTTTCTTTTACGAGGATCGAAGAGAAATATTTTGAGTTTTTTTGTAGGCGACTCCATTTCTGATGTAACCGCACAGAATTCTCTTTTTTCACAAAAAGGACTTTTTTGATTAGATCATTCCACATTTCCAAAACGATCATCTTTTATCCGGTCATATTTTAACGACCTAAAGATTATGATATGTACATTCTGCGCCAACAGGGTTCAAGAATTCATTCGCGTTAGCTTAACACCATAAAATCGATCGAAAAATGGGTTATTTTAGTTTTCTGGATAAAACGATTCGCAAAATTACTAACCGCTGTCTCACACTATCTGCGATTGTGTCATCTGAATCTGGATGTTCTTAATGTTCCTGGACACATGAAATTTACAGTTGTTGCACAGTTCCATGAATCAGAAAGGAACGAGTAACCTTTTTCTACTTCTAATGCGGTTGCAGTGGAAAACTTTCTTTAGATTACACACAAATTATTTCAAACGTAAAACTGATCGTTTTTTGAGTAGAACATTTCACAGTTATCATTCATTCACTCAATCAGTTTCTTATTATATCCGTGAATACCCAAAGATTATGGTGCGAATGTTAGATGAAAGAGTTTGTCTAAAGGAGCTATCGCTTTAGTGCTCAAACTATTACGATCCGAAACTGTTCATGTGAAAGAAGTTGACGGTGATTCTGAATCTCTGAAAAAAAACTTCCAAGATGACAATTATTGTATTGATGCTCTCGATTTTGGGCACTCATCTGCAATCTAAATGTACGCTGTTTTTAAGCAAAATTTTATAAAATTCACAGTTGCTGAGCGTTTTTTGGAAATCAAAGCTTACGGTTATGATACGATTTGATGCCATTTCCACTTCCAATGTGTTCTCAAAACCACCTGTTATGATTGCTAGATATCGAAATTGAACCAATTTCCATAGCCTGCCTAGATTATAGACTAGATTTAACGCTAGACAGTGATCGAAATTAGCAGTTTTAGGCAACTTCATTACATGCTCCGTGCCGGACTTTGTCAAGTGTGGTAGAGCAAGGAATTCAAGTCGATACTTTTATAAAGCACATATGGATTCGAATGAGGTTAGTAATGCTGCAGAGTGATTTTAGCTATTATATTCTATGTTTCAGGCACTGCAATCATATAAGCAACCAAGCGTCAGCAGTGGCAGACAGTCGGACATGTATAAAACAACCCAATCAAACGTTGTTGAGTGGCCTTCCCACCATTTGGAGTCTCGCGTACGACCACAATCAGAAGAACAGCCAACCTGCTCTCAACGGCAACCGAATGAAAGTGTTCACGGACCACTGGAGGAAATTGAGGTACTATTATCGTGTGCAGCCTTCTTGAGGACTCTAATAAGGTGTAGAATACGAGGTATTATAGTTGCCGCTTCAACCGTTATCAGGGAGATTTTTGCGGAAGCGGCCACTACTAGACATGGTGAGAATAGTTATTGAGAATGTTTGTTGGTATCTGTAGTAACGAGCCAATGGAGACAGGCCGTAAAAAATAGGTCGATTTCAGGAAGAGCGGCAGCGAAAGAAAGCTGAACAAATGGCATTCAATAGACGTAATGAACCTGAAGATAAGCGTAAGAAGCGGTTAGCGGCCCAGGCCGAAAGATCCAGGTTGAGAAGAATGAAAGAGACCGAAGAGCGGAGACTGGAACGCCTCGCGAATGATACAGAAAGACGTAAATTAAGAAGATCAACCGAAACGGAAGAACAGCGATCATTGCGCTTGCGTTCATTGGCAGATGTTAGGAGAAAACAACGTGCACAAAACAACAACTTGCTCAAACATCATCATAGCAGTCAAGAAGAACTTGGTGCAAACTCAAGAGAAGTTCTGGAAGAAAATGTTACGGTTGGCTTACATTTCCTGGGTTTTTTTTCGAAATAAGGCAATGTTGTCAAGGGCAATCCTTCTGATGTTGCGCGTAATGATGCATTTGTTGCCTTCTCTACCCAAGAAGCAACACCTGAGGTATGATTTATAGCAAGCAGGCACTTGGGAAAGGGAAAGGAGATTTCAGGCTGATCCACTGCAGCACTCGGGCACCCGTGATGCATTTTCTGGCCAACGATCAATGATAAACTTTAAGGATTTGATAAGCCATGTACCATTGGTAGCATGACTCCATAACGTTCTCGAGAGGAGCATCAGGAGTAGTGCATAGCGTTCTTAAGGGCATAAATGTTCAGAGACTCAATACTTCCGAAGACGAGTTTCAACACAACGCATCTGTACCTTATTTGGATGAGAGTGCTTCCAGACCTTTGCCTTCCACGTCTGCCTACGTACCTTTGAAAGATCAAACAATACAGGTAGATCGAGTAGGAAGCAGAAAATTATCTGTCGTGGACTAAAGGGACTCTAAATTTCAGTCTTTACATGATGAATACGTACTACTCACTCCTGATCCTGCTTTGAGAATAGTACATTTGAATGGAGCAATTGAGAACAACCTAAATGCTTTGCCTCCTCAAAGCCTACCGCCCTGTGAGCATGAAAGCATGGATGAATACGAAATTATGGCGAGCCAAGTTTTATTTTTTTCAGTCAGTCACTCTCATGTGGAACAACACTCAAATATTCCATTCACTGTCTTACCAAGCACATCCACGGAGCTGTCTCCGACCCAGGTATGCTGATTTATGCGCAATTATAGTGCTCTGTGAAATCAAATTGATAAGTGAAATGTTTAGTTGAGTTCTGTACGAAACTCTGTACACCGCCGGCGATCGCCGCGCAATCTTGGTATAGCCTTGACGAATCATGACACGGAAGAGAACTACATGGGATCTATGAACACCAGCTGCAACCGCTGTGGTGCCCTTTTTTTCTCCAGCGAGGCCAAACCTAAAAACGGATGCTTTAATATCTGCTGTAATTTCGGCAACATCTCCTTAGATTTGTTCGCAAATTTCCCGGAACTTCTACGTTCATTCTACACTGGAACGAGCAAACTCTGCACAAATTTTCGCGAGCACATCCGGTCTTATAACAGCGCCCTTGCCATGGCTTCAATGGGTGCTCAAGTAGATACTCCTCGTGGTTCTGGGCCATACTGCTACAGAATTCACGGCCAGATCTATCACTATGTAGGCCCTCTGACGCCACCGGAAGGTGTTCGTCCACAGTTTGGACAAGTGTACATTCTGGACAGAGACACCGCAGCAGCGGAAAGAAGTGGGAATCCTGCGAATGCACGTTGTGATGCTACTGTAATGCAGCAGTTGACCTAATGGTTACATGCTAATAACAGTTATGCTGCTTCGCTCAAGATGATGGGAGATGTAGCTGCAGACGAAGAGCGACGCGCCCGTGAAGATGGCAAACAATTACCAACAATTCGCCTTATCTTCGATGATTCTCCTAACCTGGACCGTCGCCGTTATAATGTACCAGCCGCAAACGAAATCGCCGTTGTTTACGTCGGCGAAGATGGTGATGTCCCGTCGAAGCGCTCTCTTGCTATTCACCATAGAGGAGGAAACCTACAGAAAATACCAGACATCGACGGTCGTTGTGACCCACTAACTTACCCTCTGTTATTTCCTAGGGGAGGACTAGGGTGGCATGTCGATTTGACCAAAAATCCAAGCGGTCGTATTCGCACGCGAATAAGTCAACGCGAGTTCTACTCATATTTGCTCGCCATACGCCAATCTTTTAACCCGCTTCACCACGCCGGAAAGCTCATGCAACAATTTGTGGTCGATGCGTACGTCAAAATTGAGCAAAATCGACTTAACTATACGCGTACACACCAGAAAGAGCTGCGAATTGACAGTTATAGGGGACTCGTGGATCATTTGACCAGCGATAACGTGGACGGACCACCAGGACGGCGAGTTATTTTGCCATCGTCGTTTCCAGGCAGTCCTCGCGCCATGCATCAGTCTTACCAAGATGCCATGTCTATAGTTGCAAGGTACGGAAAACCCGACTACTTTCTTACATTTACGTGCAACCCAAAATGGAGAGAGATAACTGAGAACTTACATCCTGGCCAGACCGCTTCTGATCGTCCAGATTTGGTGACACGGGTGTTCAAACGGAAGCTGGACGTCCTTCAAACTCACCTTTTTGAAAAAAACATCTTGGGCTGTGTTGCTGCTTATGTCGGGATCGTAGAATGGCAAAAAAGAGGTCTTCCCCATTGCCATATGCTGCTTATAATGACTGCAGATGCAAAACCGAGGACTTGCGAGGCTGCTGATGCAGCTGTTCAGGCTTACCTTCCAAGTGCATCTGAGAATGCCCGCCTTTACAGCATAGTCGCGAGGAACATGATTCATCGAAGATGTGGTATAGACAACCCAACTGCTTCATGCATGGTAAATGGAGTATGCTCTAATTGATACCCCAAGGATTTCAGAGAAACTACTGACATTGAAGTGGACGGCTATCCCAAGTACAAAAGACCAAATGACGGTTGTAGCATAACGGCCAGAGACCAAACCTTTGACAACAGAGACGTAGTGCCTTATAATCGCTACCTGTTGCTGCTGCTTAATGCACACATAAACTTGGAAATCTGTGGTTATGTGCAAGCAGTCAAGTACTTATACAAGTACGTCTACAAGGGACCAGACAGAGCATCACTGCGACTGCTGCAACAGGATCACCCACAGTGCTCCGACGAGATTCGAGCTCATCTTGATGCTCGCTATGTATGCTCGCCAGAGGCCCTGCACCATATTTTTATGTATGACAGTCAGTTTAAATCCGATACTGTCTATCGTCTGGCCGTTCACCTTCCTGATTTTCAAACGGTGACATTTCAATCAGGTGAAGAACGTGAAGCAGCAATCCGAAAGGCGTCTAGAGATTCTATGTTAACGGCATGGTTTAAACTAAACAACGAGTATGAGGTCTTGGAGAACGAGAGTGGATCATCAAATGCAGGGATTGATCCACGAAATCTTTTCTACCACCAGTTGCCCGAGCATTTCACATTCGTACGAGCAACACGAAAGTGGAAGAGAAGGGGTAGAGGTGATCGCCAAATTGGTCGCATGCATATCGTCCCTCCAACCGAACCTGAAAGGTTTAGCCTGCGCATGCTGCTCCTTCATCGAAAAAACATGCGCTCTTTCGAAGATCTCCGAACTGTTGAGGGGTATGCGCACCCAACATTCCTGGATGCTGTTCGTGCTCTGGGTTTACTTCATGACGACTCGCACTATGAAAGCTGCTTAGAAGAAGCTGCTGCATTTCAGATGCCTGCGGAGTTGCGTGCATTATTCAGTTGCTTGCTTGCATTCTGTGAAATCAATGATCCGATGCATTTATATGACCGTTTCAAAAGCGAGATGGCTGAAGACTTTATCCACAGAGGAGCTACTCCATCTGATGCAGAAGCGCTCGCTTATTTCGATGTTTACGACAGACTGCAAATCATGCGCTACGACCTGGCCGAAACGGTCAAACCACCTGCACAGAATCGGCCAGTGTTGGCAGATCAGACCGATTACTCCTCTCACGAGCAGAAAGGCCGAGCGATGTACCAATGTCTGAATGCTTTACAGAAATCAACAGCAGACAGCATTTTGGCCTCCTTCAACTCCAGTCGGTCCAAGCTTCACTTCGTCGATGGTCCTGGAGGTAGTGGAAAAACTTATCTGTACAATACCATGTATCACATATTGAAGAGTCAGCACAGATCTGTCATATGCGTAGCATGGACAGGTGTGGCCGCGAATTTGCTGCCCGAGGGAAGAACAGCTGTCTCTACCTTCAAACTGAATGTGAGAGAAGGAAACCGGGAATGTACCTTACGTCGTGAGGCTAAAGAAGCCACTCCCCTCAAGGAAGCAGATGTCATTATTTGGGATGAAGTGAGCATGGTTCCAAATTACTCCCTTGAGGCAGTCGATCGTCTGTTTCAGGATCTGATGTGCAATGACAAGCCTTTTGGCGGCAAAATAGTTGTCTTAGGTGGTGACTTCCGACAAGTGCTTCCAATAATAGAGCGCGGTAGTGAAAGCGACATGACTGACGCATGCTTGAAAAACAGTCTTCTTTGGAAATCATTCCGCAAGCATACGCTTTCGACGAACATAAGAGCTGCAGATTCCGGCTCCTCATGGTGTGATTTTTTGCTAAGCGTTGGAAATGGAGAGGCAGAAGAAGACGAAATGGGCCGGATCCAACTTCCCTCTGAAATAGTATCCAACGGTAACCTCATTGATGAGGTTTTCGGCGATTTGCTAACCGACTTCGACACCTTGAGTGAGCGCGCGATACTCGCTCCACGCAATATTGAAGTTGATCGAATTAATGAAGAAGTACTGAGTAAGCTTCCTGGGCAAGTTCATGAGTACAAGAGTGCTGATGATGTGATCAGTGATAATGTGCAAGCAAATGAATACACTCCGGAATTCCTGAACAGTATGACACCGGCTGGATTTCCTCCACACAATCTGAGAATGAAAGAAGGTTCAATAATCATGCTATTGAGAAATCTTAATGTTCGAAATGGGCTATACAATGGGACGAGGTTAATCGTCACCCACTTCGGACGTTTTATCTCGGGATGTCGGTTCGCATCCGGAGATCGGAAAGGAAAGTTTACCTTGATTCCTCGCATAGACAACTATAACGACACAGCATTTCCTTTCCGACTACGAAGGACGCAATTCCCCGTTCGTTTATCCTTCACGATGACGATAAATAAGGCTCAAGGACAGAGTTTGACTCGCGTAGGCATCTCCCTTGGAACGGAAGTGTTCTCACATGGACAACTTTATGTTGCACTATCTAGGGCTAGAACAAAGGATGGAGTTAAAGTGCACAAGAAGGAAGAGAGGGTAAAGAACGTAGTGATAAGAGCAGTCCTCAATTAGCAAAAATGGAGAAGAACGGCACACAGCCATGCGAAAGAATGATGACAGCTCACGAAAAAGCTGAGATGGAATCATAGCAAGGAAGCTGAGTCGTAGATTTAGATCAGAACGCATCGTGCTTTTTTGAACTTTTTTCACTTTTCTAAAATTCTTGAAAATAAAATCTCACAATTATTTTCGTTCGCAGCTCAGAGTTATGCGCATAAATAAGCCTATCCTCTCTTTTCATGCCTTTCATGCCTGACGGCAGCAATGATTAATTTCTACTTCACTTGAATTTAGAGTTCAACGCAGCTGACACTTTACATGTTTCCATGTTCAAAGCTCATGTCGTATCTTTAATTTTCGTATAGTTTGAAGTATTAATGCTCATCTCCCTGTTTATTTAGTGCTCAGCGCATCCTGTTCTGCACATGAATTTTGATTTGTGGTTTTTGAACTTCATTTGAATCTAAAATTCATCAACGTCGATCGTATTCGTTGCTACATTTCAATTTTACTTTTTTCTAATGTGATAGCTTTTGAGAGGCGCGTGTATAAGGCTAAAGCCATTTTAATTTCACCTAATTTAAGTTTGAACGATCGCGTCGTACTTTAATTAGGAGTTGGTGAACACAAAACTTCAGAAATTCTAAACACATCCCATTTTACACAGACAAAGCCAGTCCAAAGCGCCGCGAAGCGGCGCTTTGGACTGGTCTTATATATAAAGCTGAATGTCTGTTTGTCTGTCTGTATGTCTGTCTGTCTGTATGTACGTATGTTCCGAATAGAAAATTCCACTTCTGAACCGATCCGGA